ATATCAAAACAAAGGAGGGGGGGAAATGGATCACCGAAATTTAAAAGTACAAGCTACAAGCTCTTGATGAATATTGAAATATTTATTTTCAAAAACTTTCAGATTCAAATTACGTGGGACCAAAAGTACGTTCGCCATTTTTTCAAAAAATCATAACTTCCTTTCGACTCGATGGATCTCTTTGCATTTATATTTATCTTAGAGAGGAAATCATTCTCTTTACAGCAGTTCTTTTGCCATGAAGTGTCATAAAAAAGTTTGAAAGTTAGAAGCAATGAAAAAAATTACTCAAAATTGGCGTTTTCAGGCAGGGCCACCAAAAAATTCTGAAAGTATTTTTCGATAGAGAAAGCTATGCTCTTTACTATAGTGCCTTTTTTGCGTCGGGAGGGACGGGAAATTCGTGTGAACATGGGTTTAGTGACCTTCTCTTTTTAGTTGAGAGAAATTCGTGCCAATCGACAGCAATTTTGATCTTCGTAATATTATCGAGTCGGATTTGATTTGCTAAGAAAATCAAAACTGCTTTATTCGCACGAAATTCTCTCAGCTAGAAGGAGGTTACAAAAATAATGTTCATGAATATCCCCGTCTTTTTCGTAACTTTTCGGGCATTTTTGAGCATGCTCAAAAATTGCAATACTGAAGTAATAGTTTTCTTTATTTGCTTCGAATTCTCAATCTTTTTTGCTTTGTAAGGGCACTATGTAAAGAACAGAATTTCTTCTATCGAAAAATTTCAGAAATTTTTGGTGACCCTGCTTGAAAAATGCCAATCTTGAGTAATATTTAATTGCTTCTAACTCGCGAACTTTCTTGAGCCAATTTATGGCAGAGATACCATTGTAAAGAAGATGTTTTCCTCTCTTAGATGGATATAAAATCAAAGAGATCCATCGAATCGAAAGGATATTATGATTTTTTTTTTTGAAAAAGTGGCGAACGTACGTTTGGTCCCACCTAATAATTGTGGACAGTTTTCGAAGGAGCTATGTTAAGAAGAATCGAGGTGGTACAAAAATTGTAAACGCAAAAATTCAACCACTCCTGAATTTTCTTTTGCTGGAAGTGGCCACACGCCCACGAACCCAAAAGTTTCAATCCCTCCCTCCCCTCCCTTAAACAAATTTCTCGCGCCCCTACTGCTTTTCTTGTGTCTATCCTTTTCTACTCTCTGCTTTTGACTTCCAAATCTTTTCCCTCTCACAATACCGCACACATCACAAAATAATGATTATTGATTTAAAAATAAAAAGTTCAAACTTCCGATTTGAGATAATAGCTCGAGAAATTCGAAATTAAAATTTTTAGCTAATAGTGTTGAATGACTGAATAAATTAATGTGGTAGAAAAATATCAAAAGAAAGGGACGGGGCCTAATGGGTCTCAAGAATATTCATAGTAGTAGTAGTTGCGACTGTAGATAATGAAAGATTAGAGCTCTTCTAAACTTTAAAGTAGTTTATCTTGGCAATTTTCGAAAATGTGGCTCACTCCACGCCCCTTTTTGCTAAAAAATCGAGAGTGTACAAAAACTGGTACTACGAAAATTCAACCAGTCCTAAATTTCCCTTTATTCGGTGACTCACGCTCACAAATCCAAATAATTTTTTGTCCCCCCCCCCCTCTTGAAAAAGTTTCTTGCACCGCCACTGCTCTAATGTATCTATACTTCTCTGCTCCTCTGCTTTTGCTGTTTTAAATGCTTTTCTCTCTCCCAAATACTTCCTACATCTTCAACGGATCTGCATATGTTAATTTCGAATTCATGTTTCCAATAATACCTACCTGAAGTACCTTTTAATGGAAGCAAGCTCCAGAGATAGAAGCAAGAGAAGAAAATTACTCCATTCTCAAAATTTCTGCGTTTGATCGCAAAACTGAAACTCGCAACGGAAATCGGAGCATTATAGGTTTTATAGCATGCTCTTTCTGAATGTGCCAAATTTGCGCTGATTGAATCTCTTTATGAAAAGTTATGATTTTCAAAGCAAATGCCAAAAAAATCACATTTACTCTTTTTTAAGGGTTCCTCAAAAATCATAACTTTTTAAGAGACGTTCAATCAGCGCAATCTTTGTACATTCAAAAAGAGTAAGTGACTAGCTATGACCGATTGCTGCGATTTTCTGCAAGCAGATTTTTGCAACCAAACACGGGGAATGTTAAAATGGAGTAATTTCTTTCACCGACTTCGGTCTCTGGAGCTATCAAAAAGTGCCTCAGGTGCCGTTAGAAAGCATGTCTTCTTTCAAAATAAACATGTTCAGATCGGAAGTGAAGGAAGAAAGTTTCGAATTTTTGAAAAGGATGGGACGAGCTTTTGGTTCATTAGTATTGTTTTCTAAGTATTAATTTATGGAAATTCAACAATAATTTATAATAACTTTCACTTACACATACCTGCCTTAGAGTCTGACACATACCTGTTTTGTGTGGAAAATGCTGGAATATTAGATTGAAACAAAAGTCCTGCTCCAAATTTGAAAGTTCCAAAAAAATTTAAGTCGAAGTAAAGCATTGATTTTTTGCAGAAAGCTCTTGTAATTTTCAAATCTGTTTCAAAGCTTCTCTTGTTGAGATTTCGAAATTTCCAAAAATTTCAAATAAATCGTCCAAATTTGCTCCGTATTTCTTGGCGAAGAAGTCGCAAAGTGGAACACTTACGGCACGGCACGATTTACATCAAGAAATTTCAATTAATTCTCATTACAGAAAGGAAGGGAGACCGAAGCCGACTTCAGTCGCGCGAACAAGGTCAAAATGACAACCGATAACTGGAAACGTTTTATTTCTCCACAGGACCATCTTCCGTTTGAAGCGCATATTGTCCTTTGTGAATGAGATTGTTCTTCTTGTTTAATTCTTATTCTTCCATTATTCTTTACTCTTCCATCAGTCTAACATTGCTTTCTAATTCTTAATATCTGCCGATTTTTTCCAACTTTATTCGGTTATGCATATATGTATACTCGAATGTTTCTGCGATTTTATGTATATTTATTTATGAGCACTTCATTGATCTGCTAATTTGCAATTATCAACTTCGGCCTAGTGTGATTCTATATACCTGCATAAAACAATACACTGCGCACTCTGCTTTCTCATTAAAACTATCTCGCTGTCTACGTCTCTTAGCATCTACAAAGTCTGGGGAATTTCTATATCAAACGAATAATGCCTTAGTAAAAAGCGAAAACCTAGTATTGGAAAGGAAAACCTAGTATCAAAAAGGAAGCTTGATATGGAAGAAACGGATCGCGAATCAAGGAACTCTAAAAAAGTACTGCGGAAACCCTGTACCCTGAGATTGCAGGGTTTTCGCAGCGCTTCCGCAGGATTTCCGCTGGGTCACTTGCGGAAATTCTGCGAAAGAGCTGCGGAAGTTCCGGTCGGTTGTCTGAGCACAGTACACCTACAGTAGATCTGAAAGGCTGGCAAAAAAGTAGAGGCCATTCCTGGATTCAGTGCAAAAAAAAGCTCATGGAGTGACACATGGTGTGTCAAGCGATCCCACGCGGTACACTGCTGGACAGACCATGTGTATCAAGCTGTCGTCAATGAGTTAAGGTAGGTTTGAACTCAAAACCTAAAAAGAATTGCCAAAAAACGCGCAGTTGATGTTTTTTCCTTGAACTAGAAAGTGAGGAAACGAAAGTTTTCGAGTTTCTCTCAAAGCAATGCTGAGCCATTCTCACATAAGTATTCTATACTACAAGCCTAAATAAGTATGACTGCAAATTTTCAGCCTATCCCGAGCGATAGCTTTCGAAAACATCAAACATACTTAGCTTCTTTTCCTTCAGTGCTAAATTCGACATTTCTTGGAAATTGCCGCACAAGATAGGACGAAAATTTAAGGTTACATTTACCTAGGCTTGTAGCATAGATTTACTTATGTGGAACGGCTCAGCATTTCTTTGAGAAAACACGAAAATTTTCGTTTTTTCAATTTCTAATCAAAGTAAAATAACAGAAACTGCGCATGTGAGGGTATGACGAAAGTATATGTATGTAAGTGAGAAGTTCTCAGAAATATTTTAGACGGAGATCTGATTTTCAATTTTTGGGCATCTAGAACTCTTTAGATCTTAAGTTCAAGCTTTCCGTCTATCGAATTGGCACGAAATCATGATTGCTATCTTGTAGAGCTTGCTTTGCTCTATCGAAGTCCATTGACTCTTCTTGGGTTGAGCCTGATGTTTTGCTAAAGCAAGGAATAAAAAGCACATTGTGTTCTTGACAGCTTATTAAAAACCTTTGCATATTAACGCAGTGCTACAGAAGAAAATTCTGAATGCTGAAGCATTTGTCCCTGTCAATTCAAAAGCATTTTAGCTGAATGAAACATAATACGATGCTATTACGTACGCGTGTCAACGAAATAATTGGCAACAAAAATTAGAACTTGTGCAAGTGTTTTGGCCATGGAAATAGCGTGGCGGTTATTTTGCATTCTCTTCCATTTTTTTAAAGAAAACTAATAGAATATGTGAAAGTAATTCATCATTGCATTTCTTGAAGGGAGCATCAAAAAGCAAAATATCAAAGAGTAGGTACGCAAAACAGAGAGGATGTTTATGACAGAAGATCTTTTCTTTTTTTTTCTTGTACTTGACTTCCAACAATACATGAGCCATCGTAATAGCTAGCTGGAGCAAAAACGTCTTGCTTTTGCTTAGCGGAGTGCATGTTGACTGGGTCAGTGTAAATTGTGAGATGCCCTCAAAACAATGCGAGAAGTCTGTACTTATTGCAAAACATTGCTATGGATGGCTAAACAAGCACCTCTCCCTTGATGTACATTTGCAAATGAAGTCCTAAAAAATAGTAATCTAAAAAAGGCTAATCAAGTACAGGTCTTTTTTACTTTACTATGGTTCTTACGAAAAAGTTCTGGTGTAATTTGCAGCTTTTGAACAATGTTTGAAGCAGAAATCATTGGCTAGCATTCTCCGAATACTAATCATGAGCAATAGCGAATCATCTACGCGGCTAATCAATGATAGCCATGGATCAGCTCTTCAGTGCAATTCTAGTTCTCCTAACGATGTCCAAGGCGGGAAGCACTGCAATAGACATTTTCTGCTATATCGAGGTTTGTTGTTTTCATTTTGCAATGTGAGACTCCGAAATTCCGTCTGCAAGATGCTGACAGGTGTAATAATAGAAGTTTGCAGTTTAGAAAGTGATGTCACAATCTATCGTAAGACACATAACTAACTGTTTGCAACAGCCAAATCACTCTCATCGTTTTTAGGGTCAAATCACCAATGATGGGAAACTCAATGGCACATTCCATTCATGTGAGCCGGATTATGTGGACTGCTCAATGAATGAAAAAAGCGATTTGAATTTGGATGCAACTCATGAGACTGTGGTTTGTGCTGAGAAAGGCTTTTTGTGGAATTTAGAGGTCTTGATTGCATGCCCTAATTTATGAAGAAATTGAGCGTTGTTCCAGAATTACTGTTCATTTGTGCATTTAACGCGAAAATCATACTGCTACAATATGAAACACTGCTATGGAGTAAAGATGAAGTGTGCAAACAGCAGCATCTTTTTCACGGCAATTTCGAAGACAGGTAAGGTGTCATCTTTGTTTCACCTATAATAGCAAGAAATCTTTCAACTAATGTAGCTACAGAACTTGCAATACCTAGTATGAGGCCATATCAATGCTTTGACATGTCAATAAAGGACATTTGCAACGCATGGAACATATGCTTTTTTGATATTACAGTAAAGGTTATTTCTAAAAGAGAAGATGAAGCGAGTGTGACGAGTGTGAAAGCGGAGTATTCAAATACGAATTATTATAGGACGTTTGTTTCATGTACCTGACACATTAAAAGGCTTCACAACTATCATCAGGGGCAAATATCCCACTTTGCGGAGGATGAGAAGCTAAACGAGTGCAAAGAAAGCCTCACAATTCTCAGCAGTTACGAGCCTCTGCAGTTCAGCAAATCAACATGATGAATCCAGAATGTGAGGGATGTCATCCGATAGAGCAAACAAGGCTCTCCAAAATGACCTCCAAACATCGGCTTGAGTCGTAGTGCAAAGTTAAAAGGCCAAAAGATAAGAGCAGGCAGCTCATAGTGTCAGAAATCCGATCTTCGCCCCAGAAACAAACCTCCCACTTGTTCCTGCATCTGGAACATGCCTGCTTATATCACATACTTATGTCACTTGCTATACTTTTTCCGCATTCAGTAGTAAAGGATAAATTGAAAAACGAAACATGGCAAGCTCCTCCCCCATAGTGCTGTGCTCCTCCTATTTAAGAACTACTACAAAGCTTTAACTCTTTAACCATGATATTTGGGATGGATCATACTTTAATTTCCGAAAAATACTTTGGCTGAAAAAAAAACTAATAAAGCCATTCTTTTCTTTCCAACCTGATACATGAAATCTAAATTATTAGGCTGCTGCTAAATTGTTAAGCTCTGCAAGTTCTGTCCTAATTTTTGCCCTATGTTTGAAGCACTGTTGTAAGAGAATTTCATATCTGTTGCAATATTGTTAGTATCATTAGAAAGTGCTTTTCTTGCTCTTTTTAAGGCATCTCAAATTTCAGTAAATTTCCTAGTGTAAGGAGATGACAGACTCAAAATCTCCGAGTAGCCGAGGTACGTTTTCATCTTAGAAATATGTGCTTGCGAGAAAATCTCCACAATGCGCCCTTCAAGTCAGGTTCTTTCATTGTTTGCGGAATAATGATGTAGAAGGCAAGTATATGCAGAAGCTCAAATTCACGAAGAAAACTCTTGCTAGTAAAATTTATCGTCGAAGATTAGTTTTTTTCGTATAAATGTATTACAAGCAATAACTTTCTGCGAATAGAAGTAATCGATAAGCTCAAAGTTGGAGGTGCTAGGGTAAAGCAAGAGCTAGCAGGGTCCATCCACCAATTTCTTTTCGGCGTTCATGTCAATTGAAAATAGGCATGCACAATGTGCTGAAGCGAGGTCAAAAAGTGGTTTCTTTTTTGGCTTGGTCAAAAAAATCTCTCGGCAACGCAGACCCTAAAACTCTTTTTTATTGCAAACTAATTTACGAAATTTTCTCTATTTATCTATTGTTAGATAAGATGCCTGTCGATTCTCATAAGCATTGCCATGTCAAAAAAGACAGGTTTGAAGAACGCTGTAAATTTTTTGAGTTCTTGCTTCTTCCTTAACAAGGGCTTCACAAATCTCACCATGTCTTTGATAACCAAGAAATGCTCAACACATTGAAACTAAGAATTTCGAACAAAGTTGACTTTGAAAAAAATTATGTCATTCTGAACTCAAAAAATTCAAATTGTACAGAACTTATGCAGTAGCCTAATACAAGCAAAAATCACATTTCTGCATGTAACGATGTGATTGCATCCCGTTTTTTTTCCTTTGAATCCAATCTTCGGAAAAATGTAGCATATAAGTATTCACTGTGTGTTCACTGTACGTTGACCTAATGGGATTCTTAAAAAAATTTTTTTGGGTGGAGATACGATTCTTACAAGGGAAGTGACATTAGTCGAATCGGCATTTTCATATGGATTAGGAGATGTTTTATAAAGCATAAACTGCTGATTCCAATTCTGCTTTCGATATCAGCAAATTCTGGGAAGGAACGTTTCGAAACAAAAACTTGAACGCGCGGAGAAAGTTTTTAAAATATGTAGAACTCAAAGGCTCCAAGATTACTGCCAGGATGCTTCATGCAGTTGATATCTTTAGTCTAATAAACACATGCTAGTTATTAACGCTTTCAAGCGCCGGAAAGATCTCAACATCTGTTTTCACCTTTGCCCTTGAATTTTTGCTTCAAAAAAATTCCCACAACTCCGTTCATAGAAGCGCTTTGCATGTACAGAAAGCATAATTGGAGTCAGTGTTCCATGCTCAATAAGATAGAATACATTTCATATAAAAACTCCACTTCGACCAAGTACCTTCCCCTGTTAGAGTTATAAAAAGATAGCTTCTGAATTTATTTTGGGTAGATCACGACCAGCTGAATGTCTGGAGGTCATCGTATAAGAACGGCTTTCTTTACCACATAGTTAACACATACAACTTTTTTCGCCCACTCTGAGGCGGTAGCATAAACATTACCAAGGATTATTATCAAGCATAATGACGCATTTCTTCAAATTCACTGACTCGACTCTCGTTACTCTGGAATAGTAGCGCCAAGCCTTCTTGATTTTGATCGAATATCGAGTTGCACGAACGGAGTGAAAGCGTATTCAAAAGCTGTTTGCTGGGTTATTCGCAAAAAAACACTTTTCATTTCCTCTCATTTTGTGCTCGAATAGTTGCCTGAGGAAGATGAGTAATGATTAGATACAAAGAAAACTCGGCCATGTGACAAAGAGAAAAGTGGGTTTGTAGTCTGAGGTTGCTTGTAGTTTATCCCCGCGTCTCGTCTCAGATCCCTCCCTCTCCCTCCTCCTCTCTCCCCCCCCCCCTCCCTTCCCCTGCGATGGGGGGGAGGGAACTGACAATGAGAGGGGGCGCGGCATATTTCGCTACTCTAGATATCAAAGTGGTAGTATGGTCGAAACCAACGGATGTTGTGATCGTTTAGTCATGATTACATCGTGATAAACGTGATCATCTTCTTACGCCATTCAGTTCAATCGGTCATACAAAATCACGAAACAAGCTAGTTAATTTCCGGAAAACGATACTTGTTTCATGCTTGTTTCATTCTTATCGTTTTATCGTTGTTGAAAATCAAAAGTATCCCTGACCACTTTTCATTTGAAACAATGATGTGTTGGCTTTGCAGGTTAAGAAAAAAGCTTACTTGTCTACAACTTAGATAAGGTCTTGGGAAGATGCAAGACTGAAAACCGAATTGCAAAGGTAAAGTGCATTGAAGGCGGTCAAGCATGACAATGGTTGGAAGTTTGGTCACTTCAATCACGTTGCTTTGCTAAATCTAGAATTAAGTGAAAAATGCCAAACTTCTTTGCTTCTGATTGGTTACCATGTGGTATCATTGAGAAAATGATGTGAAGCAACTGTTTACATCATGTGCTGAAAATTTAGTAAAAATGATGGTTTAAAAATTACTACCATTCCTGTATTCTTCTTTTGCTGTCTGTATTATAGAGGCTCTTATATCTTTGATACTTGGGTAGAATGGATGGCAGAACATTGCCATACAAGCTGAAATTTTCACTGTTTTGTAGATTTCCGGAGGATTCTCTGCACTGACAGGATGTTTTCAACGAAACAAATAGATTCTGCGGGTTGTAAGCTTTCCATGAACCTCACCTCGCAAAAGCAGTTCATCGAAGTTTTCAAAATTATGAGATTTTACTAATTACTACTAACTCTAAACGTTAGCAGTGCCATAGTCTCTCGGCACAATTTTACAGAATTTTCGAGTTAATAGGAAAGTAAACGACTTTGAAAGGTGATACCCTAGATCTCCAGGGGTCACACGAAAGTGAAAAACTCAATCTGTATAGCAATGTTCTGTCATCCATTACACGCAAAATCTCGACTTCTATTTTTTACCTTATCCAGGCCTTTTCATGGCGCTAATTCCAAATATGACTCTCAATATGCGTGAGTTTCTCAGAGAACTCCATTTTTGAGACAAATTTTTGAAGCTCGGACGAGTGCTCCTAATGCTATCCTTTTCGAAATCAAGCATTAACAGGTAGACACCATTGCGATTGTGTTTAACATGTGAAAAACACGTCAAGGGCGAGGAGACTTTGTTCAAGGGCGAGCGGTGCGGAAGAGCGTGGTCCTCGAGGCGCTTTTTCTGCTCCGATTTCTCCCTTTGCAGGAGATGTTTCGAAATTAGGATTTGCGCGATAGTTTTAGATCGAGGCCGTAATACTCGGTTATACTAGTATGCGGAAACGTCAATGCCCGGGCGCGGCGTTAAGGTCTGAAAACCTTAAAATAGAAAAAATAATGCAAGTATCTGGAGGAGTAAGGTATGACGCGTCGACCTTCAGATCCCCTTCCCCTTCCTGGAGATGTACGTGCACGCGGGCCTTAGTGCCTCATTTATTACAATAACAGAGGAGTGTATTGCATATGTATAGGCTGTTCCGTTCGGGCGCAAAATGTAGCACTGCGTCTAGTTAAGCTTAGTCAGCACTCGTTCAAGAGAGAGAGCCGGCCATAGTATGTGGTGTTCGTGCAGCACAGATCAGGTTACCAGTGAAATGTGAGTTGGCAACCGCTTACAAGAAATCATTGGCACAATTGTGCAAAACTCTTTAATGCGCTGTCTGATAGTCATCAGCAGCAATCCGCAGCTCTTAGATGTTTGCAGTTTCCTCAAAAGCAGAAAAATGAATAAACATTTTTAGTCATAGCTACTGTTGCGATTATGCTGTTGCTGCTTGGAGTGGTTGCTATATGGAAACTAATTCGAGATGTTCGCAGATCGGATATGTTAGATGTTCGGGAAAAATCCCGCAGAGAATCTGCAGAAAGTGTGGCTAGAACGAATAGCATCAGCACCAGGGACTGAATATGTTATTGCACTTTATCGCTAAATGATTGTTGCATTTTGTTTAAAGTAATGTATGGATCAATGAAGGATGAACTACGGTGACTTTGTTATAACACTAGCTGAGATATCAAGCTTTACTCGGTATCTGGCAAAACGCAATAAAGGTCATTCGTTTCCCACTTCTGTAAAACATTCACCTGGCTCTGTTTCACTCCTATGCCACTGTTTCACTTCAGTTCCCCGCCAACACTGAATTTCATAGGGCATGCTCGCTCAGCTTCTTGTGCCAGCAGCTTGCAACCTCAGCTCAACCTTTGCAAACATCGATAAAATCAGTAGTAGTGTTGAGTACTTTACATTTATCCCGTTCCTTCAACGAACAGGCTTGAGGTTTGCAGCAAGTCAATATGATGATGAATTTAATCAAGAAAAATCTAAACATTGATATTATTTGTAGTTAGGCATGCTCACTTAAAAGTACCGTTCACCCTAAGCTAATGTTTTCAAGTTTTTGGCAGTTTACGATGATATGGATACCCTACCAAGCCAATCCAAGTCGCGGCGCAGGATGTCTCTTCAGAAGCGAGACAATCGCTTTGGAATAGCGAAGATGCATGAGGAGCTCAAGTCGGCATCGCCCCCTCCAGCAATGCCCGCCCAGTCGTGCGCGCCTATCCAGTCACTGTTGTAGAAAGCCGACCTGTGGGTTTTCAACGGGGATTGGGCGTTTTCGATTCTCGACTTCATATTCGGAATCAGGGACATGAGAATGCCCCCGGGACCATCAGAACATTAAATTCAAGAATCTATATGGACAATGCTTTCAAACCCCGAACTTTTACCAAATCCCAGCTCTGCAGGTCAAGGTCTGCAACAAACCTCTTCTCACCTCCCGTGCCAACAGCTCAAAGTTTGCAAAGAACTGACTTGGTCAAAGCAGTCGATAATCAAAACTAAATTGTATTCGCAATAGTCATGCTCAATTCCTCCTGTATCATACCCCTGCCCTATGACTCGATTTTTACAAAAAAATCGATTAAATCAAAGAATCGGAGAACATTTCGGTGTTTCGTGATTGCATGAATTCTGCAAATCTTCAAGTGTAGTCCACTCAACCTTGCATTCTCAGGGACTAGCGCCGTACGAGCGGTCTGAGGTGCCTCTACAATCGCACGTGAGCGTGGCGATTGTACAGTGGTGAACGGCCGACTGCAAAGGTAAGGTGCGGCGCTTGCACGACCGTATTGCCTACCATTTGGGCGTTTGAGTCGTAGCGATTGCACGGTACTACTGCCTACCGTCAGCAAGAATAAGGCTTGGCGTTTGCACCAGATTACTGCCTGCCGTTTACAAAATCAAGGCGTTCAAGGCAAAATTGGATTCACGTAATTTTTTTGGAATACACTAGGAGTCAGTAAACACTTCATTTGTTTATTGAAAAAACAGTATCTCACAAACGTCAACAAACAACAGAGATGTCCTACGTACAAAATAGTAGCCTACATTGCCACCCGTAATATAAAAGCTCTAATAACACTTTACATACAAACACACCATTCAAACCTCCAAGAGTAAAAAAAAATAAAACCCAAAACTTGCAACAATAATGGTCATAAAATAAATTCAACGCGTAGATCACTGAGATGTTGGTACTACGTTTTTGGTTGTAGGCTTTATTCATTTTCATGGAGTCGTTCAACGCTTCCCTCAAGTTTGAAGACGTACAACTTGGCCCACTACCTTTCGATGAAAATGTCAATCTCAAAATACTCTCTATCAACAAGCAGATGTAAACTCGCGTCGTTTGCGATGTAACCCTTTTGCATCATTATGGGTATATGTGCGCCATCTCTACCGAAATTGGACCAATTAGCAATACAATTGTCGTTTTGTAAACTGAAGATCAAAAAAATTCAGGTGTCTAGCTGAAGGGTTTTAAAAAATTCATTCCTGTACACCGTCTTAGCCAGGGCTCGGCAGAGGTGGCGTACAGGGCAAGCTTGATATCGTTTTGGAATAAAAAGCAAGGAGGATATTGTTGAAGCGGAATTCCCCTCTCCCCCCTCCCCCCCCCCCACACACACACACACACACACACACACACACACACACACACACACACACACACACACACACACACACACACACACACACACACACACACACACACACACACACACACACACACACACACACACACACACACACACACACACACACACACACACATACACACATACACACATACACACATACACACATACACACATACACACATACACACATACACACATACACACATACACACATACACACATACACACATACACACATACACACATACACACATACACACATACACACATACACACATACACACATACACACATACACACATACACACATACACACATACACACATACACACATACACACATACACACATACACACATACACACATACACACATACACACATACACACATACACACATACACACATACACACATACACACATACACACATACACACATACACACATACACACATACACACATACACACATACACACATACACACATACACACATACACACATACACACATACACACATACACACATACACACATACACACATACACACATACACACATACACACATACACACATACACACATACACACATACACACATACACACATACACACATACACACATACACACATACACACATACACACATACACACATACACACATACACACATACACACATACACACATACACACATACACACATACACACATACACACATACACACATACACACATACACACATACACACATACACACATACACACATACACACATACACACATACACACATACACACATACACACATACACACATACACACATACACACATACACACATACACACATACACACATACACACATACACACATACACACATACACACATACACACATACACACATACACACATACACACATACACACATACACACATACACACATACACACATACACACATACACACATACACACATACACACATACACACATACACACATACACACATACACACATACACACATACACACATACACACATACACACATACACACATACACACATACACACATACACACATACACACATACACACATACACACATACACACATACACACATACACACATACACACATACACACATACACACATACACACATACACACATACACACATACACACATACACACATACACACATACACACATACACACATACACACATACACACATACACACATACACACATACACACATACACACATACACACATACACACATACACACATACACACATACACACATACACACATACACACATACACACATACACACATACACACATACACACATACACACATACACACATACACACATACACACATACACACATACACACATACACACATACACACATACACACATACACACATACACACATACACACATACACACATACACACATACACACATACACACATACACACATACACACATACACACATACACACATACACACATACACACATACACACATACACACATACACACATACACACATACACACATACACACATACACACATACACACATACACACATACACACATACACACATACACACATACACACATACACACATACACACATACACACATACACACATACACACATACACACATACACACATACACACATACACACATACACACATACACACATACACACATACACACATACACACATACACACATACACACATACACACATACACACATACACAACCGCCTTCTGCCTTTGGCATCCGCCATACTTGACCCGCTTAACCCACTTAATCCGCTTGATCCGCTTCATCATTGGTCGATTCAGTGAACTGACCAATAGTGAAATGGGTGAAGTGGATCAAGCGGATCAAAAGGACAACCGCTTCGCTATTGCTCAATTCAATCGACCAATGACGAAGCGGATCAAGCGAATTAAGTGGATTAAGCGGATCAAGTATGCGGGTGCCTTTATGTCACACTCTTCTATAAAGGACGCAAATTGTCATTTCTGCCTTATCGATCTGCAAAAACCAAAAATTTGCTGTTTCAATATGTTCGCCGGTTAAGCGTGCGAATTCAAACCTACCCCGAAATAAACAAAAGACTTGTTTAGCGAAAAGAAAATGAAATGATACCAAAAATGTGTGTAGATGGGCAATAGGGAATTAGGACTATGAACGAAAAATTGTGAAAAACTTATGTGAACTGAAGCGTGGCAGACTTTTTTTCGGAGTTAGGTGGCTCTCCAGCCACCTGGACAGCCACCTGAGGTGGCTGCAAAAAAACATATTTTCCTTCCTTCACACGATTTTCTCACACGTTTAACATAATCTTGTTCTGCATCAAGAACCCTACAACTGAGTTTTTGAATCTCCCTAAACCCCCTCTTCTTCGCCTAGTTACAGCTCTCCGAATATTTTGTATATCGGCGGCAATTCTGCTCCAAGCGCAAGGGTGCGTAACGGTCACAGCATGCCGCCATGTAGACAAATACAAACATTCTCAGTTTTTTTCTCGTCTGCTCGATGTCGGTTCATGTTTTGCTCCATTGTTTTTCGTTATTCTTTCGATCCGTTTATGATCGCGTCATAGGTGATGTCGTAATTTTGTGCCGAAGTCTATAGGGACTTCGTTTTTGAAAAATTGAAAAAACCACCTCATGCCGAGCCCTGGTCCTTTCCTGTACATTCGCATCCAAAGCTGCTTGTGGTTCTACGTTTGCATTGCCAAGGCTAAGCGCACAGGTAGAAGTATCAAACATTTAACAATAACAGAAAAAAATTATGTGGAAAAATAGATAACCGTGACGACAACAGCCGAACAGCGCTTCAAAAGAAGTATGAATCAAAGAAGCTCCTAGGTTGTCGTGAAATGCGAAATAGGCCTGCGAAATGAACCATGTAATGGAGGATAATGCGACAATGCGGAAGTGTTAACAAAGCAAACAAAGCAACAACAACAACAAAACAATTTGAGAAAAGGATGGCAAAAAAGACTTTGAGCTGGAGTGGGAAGAAAAAGGATTGAGTTCGGTTGTGTCATCCTTTATACACTTGAAGTCTTTATTTCGCCGCAATCGCAGAAAAGCTGCGCATTTACCTTAGCAAGTGTAAAGATGAAATTGGGATAATGAAAACCAGCCTCCGTAATCGAGTATTCCTGCGATAAGATCAATAAATCACCATACTTCAATCAGAGACGAACGAAAAGTCTGAAAACAAGAGAATTGGCGAACAAATGCGAAATGGCCATAGAACTAATGACGATACAGACGTTAGATGGGTGTGTCATCATCTGTGTAGCTGCATCAAGTCTTATTCGAGTTTTACGGGCATGTTTGCTCAATGACTGCAATTTTTGTTGATATATTGGATGAGTCGTCTTGACTGGTAAGAAAGAAAGTTTTTCAAATTGTTGTAGGAGTTATTTACATTCCGAAGCACAGAGATGCGAATCATATTTGGAAAAGCACATGTGTACTTGATGAAATAGCGCGATTACGAACAGCTTTGTCGCTAACCTCACCGTGTACATTGCTTTGATCAATGATATCCATTAGACCTAGTGCTGTTACTCTTATTGGGTGATCATCGTCTCTATACAATCTCTCAAATGTGCGAATGGGCTTATTGTTTGATACTCATTCAAAAGCACCCTAACACTAGATTTTGTTGTGAGTGCAGAAACAAAATGATATATCCGATTCCTTGCACTTCTGCAAAGTTGCCATTTTCACTGGTCCAAATCATATCTTGACGTCTATTTCCTTTTTGTTACCAGTGTTTTCGTGAGGGACACCCTTTTTTGGATTACGATTCTCTTCAGCTGCAAGAGGCTTATGTATGCTATCATCTCTAGAAGCGGAGAAGAAAAATCGCACTAGACTTCTTCTTCATTTAGTGTACATAAACATGTAAAATATACTTAGCCTTAGGTTTGCTCCGACTTTCCCCTTCAGTGAAAGGATCACTATTGTTAATTACTGATTTTTTTAACTATTTTCATTAGTTCTCTTCGATGGTTAGCACGCTATCTCTCGATCGCACAGTGGAGCAATATGTTGTGAACTAATCCACATTTATTTGTAAACGACGGTGATAACTCTCGAAAGTAGCCGCTGACTGCTGATAAAAAATTCCATAACTCTCTATTTCTTCCTTCGCCCCGTGAAGCACTAGAGCTATTGCTTTATTCGAGAAAAGGCAACTATAAAGGAAGAAACTCTAGCGTGGCACTTCATCATAAAACGATGTGGTGCAAGTATGGGATAGACGTCCAGCGAGCGATTGAGCTAAGAATTGCCATGGGTTAGTTCAAAGCTGTTGTTCTAAACCTTTTCTGACTAAACTTTGATTTAGGAGAGTAAAAATTCTTGGCAAAAGACACCCGCCGCTGGGCTAGTGAATATTAGTTTTTCGAAACATCACATCGTGGCTAAAGGCGCACTGACAGAGATGAAGCTAATGTTAAGAAGAGGCCGAAACAAGACGCTTAGAAAGAGGGATCGCCTAAGCAGTGAGAAAGTCGAAAGCGCAAGGCTACATGCGAGGAATTTCGTAGTAGCAGTGACTTCAACACAGCCGCAATGGAGGAATGTTTCTAGATACACGTCCGATAAGGCGATATAAAGTATTGCATGCATTCCTACTTTTACCAGAATTTCCAGAGTTTGTTGTGTGCGAGTTTGTTTGCACAAATGCATGCTTCAGTTTTAACAGTTTAATGTCCATTGCATACAATGTTCTGCACAATTGCATGCCCCCGATAAGAGAAGTTTCAGAGTTTGTTGCATGGTATGTCTCCTGCATGAAAGCATGCCTCAGAATTTCTCAGATTTTCTGCATTCAAAGCTTAGTGCATGCAGAAAACTAAAGTAGATAGAATTCTTGTTCAATGCGGAATATGTGCCTGTTACGAACGTTTGTCATGACAAGTTTGAATGACCTCTTTGCACTTAGTCGTTCCCCTCCCCCCAGGGCCCGGCACAGATCGTCTAGAAGCAGGCTGGACTTCGTTTTTGGAGCAGAAAACAAAGGGGATATCGTTTTTACGGGGTCCGGGGCGGAGGCCCGGAAAAAAATTTCTGCGCGTGTTCATTAGCGAGAAATGTGGTGCAAATTTGCTTGGATTCTGAAAAGCTTGAGGAGGGTAGGAACGGATGAGCAATTCACTCGCTGCTGTTCTAAGCTTTCTATGATAGCTAGGAATTCCATTGATGTGAATGTTAGCTTTGGCTCTGCCTAGACCAAAAGACCAAATCTGGAAAATTTCGAAATCCTTTTCAAGATTTCTAGATTTTTTATACACTAACCCTCTCAACAAGTTCAGCAATCTCTTCTTCGCTTTTTCTGTACCACCGACATCCTCGGTAAGAGAGTAGACTCTCTTCGCCAACAGCCAACAGCTTTGCCCTGGAAAAGGTATGAATGAGCAGTACACAAAGATACGGTACTGAAACGTCTCACTTGAATTCTGTCAAAGTCGTATCATCTACATGCCCTCCTCTTATAGACTTCAGAATCTCTGCCGACTCTTCGAGTAAACTTACCACTTCATCTGGTAGCGAAGCAACCCTCAAACGAATATGGATGGAGTCGCTCCTGAGATGGCATTCCTAAACAACAATTTGAGAGAAACATGATTATGGTGTAGTAAGTGATAGAGAGACAAATCAATTTTTAGGAAAATTAGTAGATCTCACGGTAGTTTGCTCCTGGATCTGGATGCTTGTCACTTGAAGATCTGACACAGTCGTTTCCAAAAGTGGTACAAATGGCTTTAAAATCTAAATAGACTCGAATACACATTACACAAGGAAATCTTGATGACAAACGTGAGTAGTGACGAAAGCACCAAAAAAATTCATGCAACAAGCAGGAGCAATGAAAATGACCAAGAAATTATCTCTAAGTCACTAAACCCCAGGTCTTCCAGATCCTTAAGGCAATTCTGTAGATGTACTTCAACACCAGCAATCATCGCTAGCTCTCTACTATCCAACTCCGAAATCTAAAAGTCCTCATTTGAAAGCATTAAGGAACCAGGATAGACCATAGTCTCAAGTATTCAGATTGCAATTTGCAAATTTGTTTCAGACAAACAGATACCACACAAAAACGTAAGCACCCTTAGCCAGTTATTATAAGTTCTGATAATTCCTTCACTTTCTCCTATATGTCAAAGATAAACGACCATCCAGACGAATACAAGCTTTTCGGACAGGTTATCACACGATTGACATGCTCTGTCTCGTATCGCGAAAAGTGCGCGCGATTTGAAAGCAAGGCCAAAATAAACAAATTGCTTGTTTACAACGCACACAGAATCATACGACACCAAAATTGGATTGTATGTATATAAAATTATTTGCGGAAGGATTATGTAAAAAGATTTGAAAACTTATGTGAAGTAATACCTTTTCCAAAATTAGATCGTCTCCAGACGGCCTGGAGCATATATTTTCGTCACTTCACATAAGTTTCGGATCTTTCTAGCATGGACGGATGCCCCGGTCAAAAATCTATCCCTGAGCACAGAAACATTTTCATATCACCCTCTGTCCGTCGTTTTTTATCCGCTTTTTTCATAAAATCGCCATGTCAGATATCGCGCTCCACCGCCATTTTCCGCGTTATTGCCATACTCCAGCTCTAAGCGAAATTTTGCTTGCGTGATGGCAATTTTTGTTATCTTTGTGATTTTCACCCAATTTTTTCTCTTTAAGATTGCAAAACAAGACTGGTCAGAGAACTGGCCTACGTTTATCACGGATATCGTTGAGTCATCGAAGACGAATGATAACATTTGTGTAAATAATATGAATATCTTGAGTTTGCTAAGGTTCGTTGCTTTTTGTAATGCTTGGTGTGGTGCAAAGACACTATCATTCCGCTTTAAGCGAAGGAGTGTTCGATTTCCGGCAGCAAAAACCTAACTCAGGCTAAGGAGCAACACTTGAAACAACAGTTCTATGGTGAATTTCAGGAAGTTTTCACTCTTTGCGTAGCAATTCTGTGTCTAATTTATTTTCTCGCAAAGTAATTGTCTTCATAGCTTCTACTGAAACGTGTTTAGGAGAAATGTCCTGCAAATTCGATTTCGAAGCAACGTTGAAGACGTTTTCTCGAAGATTTCTGTGAGATACGTGTTTGAGACGAACATTACCAACTACTCAGTGAAAACGTAAGCGTCAACAGTGTCGTCGTTTTGTCATTCAACCTTTTGATCCAGTTCCTGTCACTGGAAATTTATCGGGTGATTACGCTTCAGTGTTTGACGAAATTTCCATGATACAAATCGAACCTGAGGATAATGCTTATAAAGGGAAGCTTTGCGCATTGTTCTATGCTACCATCAAAAAGGTGATTTTTAGTCTAGATGAAATGAGCAGCCGGTAAAAAACGTTTTATTTAGATGGAAGTCTGCTTGGTGAAAGGGCAGACCTTGCTACAGCTTATCAGAAAGGGACCGATCAAGATCAAATTTCATATGCCTGGCGGAGTTCCTCGTGGCATTTCTGAAGGATCATTGTGCGCTTGTTGAGGTTTGTGATTTTCAAAAGGATTCCTTTTTTCTGTGATGGCCCATATAAAAACAAATCATAAAGTTGGACAGAATTCTGTAAACCGCTCCCTTTTTTCATTTCTTTGTTCTTTTGCTTCTACCTTTCAAGTCTGGAGAAAAACACTATGTGGCGTAGTCACAGCATGACTTTTTGCATTAAACCGATGTCTGCCTCACGTTTTTTTCCGTTTGTGCAAACTTTTCGTATCTCAGTTGTGCTGTCATAATCCTTCACAATGGTTGGCGTGCTTACGATGATGCTGCATCGGTCACAAGTTCCTTTGTCAGCCGTTGTTTTGCAAAAAAAGGGCCGCACTGTTTTGCAGAATTGCAATCTAGCTTGTCCACAAGTTACGGAATATCAAAAATACGGTAATATCGTCTACTAACGTGATTTTACCTTTTTGACTTGTGGTGTTTAGGAGTTATGCTGCTGGGGACGTTTACTGTGTCAATTCCGTGTAATCATTCTCGAAGGCGCGAACTTCCTCCTGCTCTACAATTTCTCATCAAGCATGTTATAGGTTTACTGTGCGACTGAGGATGGAAGGGGATGTCATCGGTAGCCTTGAGAAGAGCAACATTAGCAGTGGAAGCCTCATAGAGTTTAAGTAGGTTATTTATTGAATACCTAAAGTCCCGGGTGACAAAGATTTCACAGATCATGATTACTAATTCAGGCTTATCTTCGCTAGAATCAACGGTTGGTTCCCTGGATCTTAAGTGATATCGATGTCGACTGAGATTAAGACAACGAGAAAAAACTCCGTACCCGGGTAAGCCTTTTTATTTAGTTTCTCGTTAGTTTTAGATTTTTAGTACTTTTGGATTGTTCAATGGCGGAAAGTAAAATAGTATCAGGACCATCGGTGATTGATGTTGGTTTTCAAAGTGTGGCAATTATGCTTTGAGCTGTGCTGGTTCACAAGCGACTTCAAAACCAATCAGGTTGAAGTGCTCATTGGTATATCGCTACTGTCTTGTAGGTGTAAACATTTGGAGTTTCACTGGCCAAAAAGACGAACCAAATATACTTCAGTAGAGAAGTCGAAGATTGTGGTGAAACGTTGAGTTACTGGATGGGTAAGTTGTGGACATCAAACGCTTTAGCCAGAGTTCAAGAATGTTTTTTTCTTAGCTGTCCATACTTCTTCATTAAATCATGGTGTGGTTCGGTTGCTTGATGTTAAATTTTGTACAAACACGCTAGTATGGGAGCTATTTATGCGAAGAACAGCCAGCCCTATTCTAAGGCCTACATCAGCATCGAGCAGTATCAGTCTGATGTATGCGTTCTTTCATAAACTATCTTCTATGACTATAAACCTGCTCTCATTGCGTTGACGGTGTCGAGAGATCACAACGAGCGCATTCACAAAGCGGTATGTATCTTGGATTGCGTAAACTTTCATGAAATTACCTGTTTAGAATATCACTGGAGTGCTGCAGAACAAAATATTCGAAACTATCATTGACACAGTTAGTTATTTTGTGCGACATCAACGAGTTTACCTCAATTCCCATTCAGCTTTACAGGTTAGCTAGTTATGATTAATCATCTTTTGGCATAAGTGCAGGGGTTTTTTCAAGACAAGTGTAGAATCTATGACATTGTTTTGGTTCAGGGACGCAAAAAGACAGAAGTGCTTTCTTGTGTTCAGTGATTCAAAATTTCCCACCGATGCCATAGCGTGCAAGAACGCGTGATTATCCTACTTGCATGAAATGGTGACCGCTACGGTCAGTGCCTTTGCCTCCGACTGTTGGATTGTTGTTCGAAGCGTGGCTACCATTCATCTGTATGAAAGTTCAGTTTTCATCAGCTGATAAACGTTGATGAAGATGCATTTGTTTTCTGTACGGAAGTGTAAAGATAAGGAAATCAAATCGTCGCGTGTGTATGCGAAGGTCATGGTATGGTGAGCATAAGCTCGAGTGCTCACCATTCTCGAACTGAACTGGAGTGTAACTGCTATGCTCACAATGCTCACCAAACTCATCAGACAATGTTCGATTTTCTCCTGTTAGGCGATGCTAATTCCTTACTACACTACAGTACTCTGTTCACTCAAAATCAAAAATAGATATTCAGAAGAAACCTATTTCGTCAAGTCGTTAAACAGTTACAGCTTCGCGTTGCTGATTCTTCCTCAACACCCTCTTGCAACACGCGTGAATCTGGATAACTCTGACTTTCCTTTACTCACGTATACTTTGTAAGGAACGATTGGTGCTGCAGAGTTTGACATCACAATGTCCTGAGGAGAACATTTCTCACCAAGACCTGCAACATATTGCACAGAAACGCCAGGACTCCAAGTCAGAAAAACCCAAAATGCAGAGCAGAACAGGAGCATCCATAAATTATCTGCATAAGCTGCCAGTATCGCAATCAGCCAACTAGTAGCAATGGTTGAAATATCTTTGTGGCTGATGTGCCATAAACGGAAAGGAGATGAAAAATACAAATGTATACTCTTGTGTGTGAACCGGATGTCTGAGAAGAAATTTCATCCTTCAAAAATTTTGCGATTGGAGACATTAGCACTGGAGCCAAATACCACATGAATTTGTTGCGGAAGTCAACATAATTCGTGCCATCTCAAAACGTAAGAGCAAAGATCAAATTGTCGAAAACTCTCCAATCTTCACAAACAATCTGCTGCTTAAGGATTGAATTCATTCATATCACAAAAAAGTGAGATGTAGACTAAATTTGGACTCGCTTAGCAAGAAACAGTGCTAATAATAAAAAAAACATCTGCAAAAACCCTTCGGAGTGAAATCTCAATCCAAGCAATGCGTTGCGTCGCTCATTTGAAATGCGACGCGAATTCGCTGAGATGAGCGATGATCGCGGCGATTTCGCTCGAATGGGTATGGCTTAGCTAAAAACGGTCAGCGATGCGTCGCGCAGACAGCTAGCACATTTGAGCAGGCATGCTACACAGACAGCTAGCACATTTGAGCAGGCATGCTACACACTTGTAACACTTGTTCTTTGGCAGAGTCAGCGACGCGATGGATCGCTGACCTATGCCCGGCCCATAAGAGACTGAAAAAAGCTCTGATTTTCTGGTCTCTAATGATGATTTTTTTTCTATGCAGCCGTTCTTTGAAAAGTGTGAACTTCTTTTGAAATTGTTGATTTTTTTGTTAAAATAGTTATTTCTTGAAGAGTTCAAATGCTTTGTGAAAAAGGAATAAAGTTGTTGGCTTGATATACTTTTGTTTGCTTCTCGGACTCGATCCGGAAAACTGATCCATTCAAAGTCAGAGGATGGGGGGGGGAGGGTAGGGCAAGGGTCAAAGGGGACTCCGTAGAGTTTCCGAAAGTCAGGGGGGACTTCGTTTTCAAAAAGCCTAGAAACAGACTTGTGCCGGGCCCTGCCTCCCCCCTCCCCCCATAAGAATGTTTATTGTGTTATTTAACTACCTATTTTCCAGCTTAGATAAGTGCCTTTAATTATGCCTCTTGGGTACAGGCAACATAGCTTTGGTTCCTTGTGCTACGACGCCATTGTGGAGAGAGAATTTACTCACAGTGCCATCTGTAGGCCATTGAACATATTATTCCTATATAGCTTCTTCTGTGCGCTGCTTAAGTTCTCGCTACCTTTCCTCGATTGACTACCAAGCTTCATGAAGAAACTGGAATTTGATAGTAATAGAAAGCACTATAAATATGTATAAATCACTAACCTTGATTGGGTGGGATCGACTATCGCTTAAGACCGTAATTCGTTGTAGCTATAGCCTATGAAGTCCTCTTCAAAGTATAGAGTGTGTTCCTGTGTCCAATTTACTTGTGTTCTACGGATCTTACCTATGAGCAGGCAATCGGGGAGCTGAGCAAGTTGTCAATCTACCACATTTGCCGTTTGATCGCAACGAGTATTCCAGGATTTTTTGTGAAGGATGTGTGATCTGAATTACAGCTGTGCATATGGGGAACATATCATATCAAAATAAAAAATTTACCTTCACAAGTATGTAACGATATAGTCCCACAAATAAATGAAACGATGCTTCCTTGTCCTTTGTATGATAATTTGCGACCATTTCTCCTAGGATCGTCCAAGAGAATTTGGTTAAGATTTAGATTAGTGATGACTAACCGTGAAGAAGGGTGGTGGTCCGTCGATCTTCCATGCCGTGAGTAATTGGTTAGCATCAGAACTGGCCTTGCATTGACCTCTCCACCCGTTTCCTTTTGCTCGACCAGTTCAGCCATTCGTGTATAGCAATAAAACTTCACATTGTATTTATATTCAGCCAAAATAGTTGCAAACACCTACTTACCATCATGTAGTTTATAATCTGTTAGTCGCATTTCCAGAGCAGCATCCGCGAGATCCAAAGCACCAGTATTGCGGAAATACTGGACACGTAAAGTTACTTCGGAGCGAACGAATTTCTAATTATAGATTTAATCACCAGAGGTAGAATAGATTCATCCAAAAACTTGATTAAATGAGCCATCCGAACTTACATCTTAGAATAAAGAATTGAACCTACATCCATGGTTTCTAGCTCCAATCATATCGTAGGTACGCTTGTACGTATGGAAATCATTGCTCATATCTGAAAATACAAAATGAAAAAAAACAACGAAAAAACAAAAACCAAATCAAATACGGGAGGAACTGTTTCATTTTCGCGAAGCTCATCAGTAGGGAAACACGGCTAGTAAAGAAGAAAAAAAAAGGAGAGTAGAAATGAGCACAAGGTACAGTCTGCTCCAAACGGGATCGGGCCGAACCGCCGGCGTAATATTACGTGCTCGCAGCGCTGGCAGTCTGCGCTGCATATACGCGCTTGTCATAGAGAGCGAAAGGGTTGCAGAGAGAGCAGAGAAGCAGGCCATGGGCGTGACCGCGAAACCCTAGCGCGACGAGGACTCCCGCCATGACAATTTTGGCCTGGTTGGGATTGGGGCACACTGTACGGAATACACCCTCCAGATAAAAAAGAAAAAGAGAAGAGTGCCTTCTGGTTTTCCTTCTTATATATTCGGATGATGAACGCCCATTGCTCAGTGGTAGCAGAGAAAGTTCGAAGGCATTGCAGATCGTCAAGCTTAGGTGCAAACTAAATGTCGCAGAACACCCTGTAATGACAAAAAGGATCACTGAGTGACATAGGACTAACAAATCGAACATAGATAAAAACTAGAATAAGACGAAAGAGAAGTGCTAAGAACTAATGAAAACCAAAAAACACGGTAAAACATGCATTGATGAAGTTAAAGTTAGGAAAATTTAGGCAACTGAAAAGGTTGACATTATTGAAGGAACGTTACAATTTCTACAACTATCAATAATGCCAAGATTCAAAAACAATCGAACATGGGCAACGATACAATTTCATCAATTAATGGAGGCGATCAGCTGAGAATTTTTGTTCGCAATGAGAAAAGGTGATGATTTTTTGGTTATTCCAATGTTTTCTTCAAGGATTTCTATGAAGGAAAGAAGGTGAGTGTTTTTACTAGAATTACCAAATCTGTGAAAGTTTTTTTTTTCAGAATGTCACGATAAAATGCCATATACGCAATTTGCGACACAAACCTTGTTGTTTTTCTAATCTTTTTGATTCTTTTTTGCCTTGATTGCCTTCTATAAGTGTTTTGTAATACATTTTGATTGCTACATTGCTTTTTTTTGTATTATCGCTTTTCCAGCTCGTCTCCTCACGCTGATGGTAAGAATGTTCAATTTTTTGTTTCTTCACAATTTTCTTCGTGCTTCTTTTTATTAGGTTGAACCGAAAGTTCTGTCGCACCATATTCAAAAAAATCATAACTTCTTTCGGTCACGACGATTTTGCGCAATTCAAATTTTCTCTGAAAGCGTAAAGCATGTAGTTTCCAAAAGCTCCCTGGAGAGTTTCCGACATGTTCAGGTGACAGAGATAAAAATGAAAGAACGAGATCATCCGAAATTCGGAATTTTTAAGCAAGAATTCTAGAAATTCAGAAACAGTGCGATAAAATCCAGAAAAGCCATTATCCTAATTTCTCCTACATTTGATTACTATCTGAGTCAAGTTTGTACTGATCGAGGTCTTCTTTCAGAAGTTATGATTTTTTGAAAAATAATGCCGAAAAATCAACTTCCTAAGAATTCTTAAGAAATGGTATTTTTGGCATTTTTTTTTCAAAAATTCATAACTTCTGAAAGAAGACCTCGATCAGCACAAACTAGACTCAGTTAGTAATCAAATGTAGGAGAAATTAGGATAATGGCTTTTCTGGATTTTATCGCACTGTTTCTGAATTTCTAGAATTCTTGCTTAAAAATTCCGAATTTCGGATGATCTCGTTCTTTCATTTTTATCTCTGTCACCTGAACATGTCGGGAACTCTCCAGGGAGCTTTTGGAAACTACGTGCTTTACGCTTTCAGAGAAAATTTGAATTGCGCAAAATTGTCGTGACCGAAAGAAGTTATGATTTTTTGAAAATGGTGCGACAGAACTTTCGGTTCAACCTAATATATTGGATTATGTTTTGCTTGTATATGCGTGATTACTCCATGAATAGCTATGTGCGCCATTCATGGAGTTTGCGTTCTTTAAATGCTAATTTGATACTGCTGCGCGCATAGCATTTTGTCGCGAGAGTCTGAAAGAACTATTAGGTTGTCAAGAAAATAATGTCGTTT